ATGGCCTATGTAAGCCCTTTTGATGTTGTCGCTGTTGTCTAGTTGGACGGGGTCGAGGTCTTCTACCGTTGACCCTGCGGCTTCCATGACGTCAGGGTCCTTGATGACGTCTTTTTGCTCGTTGAGTTCGGACCCCGACTATGGTAACTGCTATGCTTCTGAGTCTGTTCCCTTTAGCTATTGAGTGTATGTACAATCTTGGGCGATGCGATAGCATTCTTGGGTTGTGCGTTGTTCACCTCGGATGCTGAATATCCCCCACGGATTAGGGAACTTGATTACTTGATACAGGCTGGACGGGATGGCCCTCATGACGTGTATCCACGGTCGTCCTATGATGGCGTTGTAAGCTGTGTCTTGGTTCATGACATGGAACGTTGTTTCTAGGGTGACGCCCCCGGCCAGAACGGGCAGCATTATCTCTCCTGAGGTTCGCTCGACTGCATTGTTAAAATCTGTTAGTGTTATGCAGCGTGGTACTATCTTGTCCTCGAGTCTCATTTGTGCGAGAACTCGAGGGTGAATAATACATGCGCCGCTTCCATCGTCTACCATTATTTTTTTTACATCAGTATCTGAAATACGTAAAGTAATGACAAGAGCATCGAAGTGACGAAAAGTCAAACCGTGGGTATCTGACTTATCGAAGATGATACTGTCTTCGAGGTCATCATACCGTTCGTGGGTGATCGACCGCTTTAGTTTATGTGTGGTGGTAAACTTCACGTGGTTGATTGCTGCTTCATCGCCCCCGCCGATGATCATTTGGATGGTGCGGGCGGGGGAGGGTGGTTTTGGAGGGCCTTCGTGTTGTTCTCGTCCACGGCCGAAGTTGGCTCTTCCTCGGTCTCTCATCAGCTCCTTTAGGTGCCCTTGGTGAAGCATGTTCACTACTTCTTGCCGTAGGGCTATGCAGTCCTCGATTTTGTGACCCCGCTCCTGATGAAATTCATAGAGGACGTTCGACTTTCGGGTACTTGGGTCGGACTTCATCTTTTGTGGCCACTTCACCTTCGGGTCGAGCTTCTCTAATGCGTACACTATTTCTGAAGGGGAAACACAAAAATTGTGAGCAGATAAGAGTGGAGGCATACCTCTTTCGTTTCGCCGAGTCCCTGTAAGCGGCCTGGACGGCCCTTCCGCATAGCGAGGAGATGGTGGGATGACTGTTCTGACATAGGGTTGATGCCTGTCTCGGTTAAGGTGTGGACCTGACTGGTCTCTTCGACCGTCATTATGACGGTCTTTCCTCGACTCTGTTTGGACTGACGTTAACCATTGGGTTGGACCGTTAGGGTCATCCTCGTCTGCTCTCACCTCGGCGCAGTAGGCGTTGTGAATTTCTTCCCAAGTGGTGGGAGGGTATTTCATGAGCCTACTTAATAACTTTCTGGCCGCTCTCGACCCATTCCTGTTCAACCCATTTTCGAAAGCTATCACCGCCATCCCTTTTGATACATTTGGTAAGCTCATTCTTACTCTGTTAAACCGGGCGAGGAAAAGTCCCTGAGTCCCTCGCCAGGCAATTGCCTAACGACGAATATATCATTCACCTTGGCCTCCGCTTTCTTAGCCCCGGTGTGGGCAGTGACGATCTTGTCGGCCATTTCTTCGAACGTTGTTATTGAACGTGCTGGTAATTATGAGTACTAGGTTAAGGCTCCCCCCGTTAGGGTCTCGCTGAACTTCTTCAGTAACATTGACAGTACCTGCTTTTTTGAGATGTCGTTGCCTTTTACTGTTGTGACGTAATAAATGATGTGATCTTCGGGATCTGTTGTGCCGTCGTATATCTTCAAATATGGTGTCATTTTAAAGGTCTTGGGTATGGCATGTGGGTCTGCCTCCTCGCTATACGGTTGTTCGACGAATCGGCTGACGTCCCGTTTTGGTAGCAGTTTCGGGGCGCCCGGTATTTTATCAACCCTTTCTTGATGCTCCCTTATTTGGTCGCGGAGCGCTTTGTTCTCATTCTCCATTTCTTCCATTTTCTTTAGAATGGCCGCAAGTGCGTCGTTACCTACATCAACAGCGGCGTGAGTGTTACCTGTTGGGGGAGCAGGTTGCTCGTCAGCGGTTGTTGTGGTATCCGCTTGTGCAACGTTTCTGTTCGCCATTTGAACAGGTTTGTCGAGTATGTTGTTTAGAGTACTTGTCAACCATTCCTCCAGTAGTTTTTTCACTTCTGGTGGCGCTTCCTCAATTGTGGACGTGGAAGCTCCCCTTTCGCGTGAAGCGGTCACACTTCCATGGGGGGGGGGGGGGGGG